CACACTATGTGCTCTGTCTTACCACTCTGTGCTCTTTCTTATCACACTCTGGGCTCTTTTTTTAATCCCACTCAATGCTCTTTCTAATCACACTCCGGGCTCTGTCTTATCACACGCTGTGCTCTTTATCACACTCTGTGCTCTTTCTTGTCACACTTTGTGCTTTTTCTTAACACACTTTGGGCTTTTTTATATCACACTATGCTCTTTCTTATCACACTCTGGGCTTTTTTATATCACACTCTGTGCTCTTTCTTATCATACTCTGTGCTCTTTATTATCACACTCTGTGCTCTGTCTTATCACACTCTGTGCTCTTTCTTATCACACTCTGTGCTCTTTCTTGTCACACTTTGTGCTTATTCTTATCTCTGGGCTTTTTTATATCACACTCTGTGCTCTTTTTTATCACACTCTGTGCTCTTTCTTATCACACTCTGTATTCTTTCTTATCACACCGTGTGCTCTTTCTGTAAGCTGTCCTAATGAAAATATCGCTTCTGTGCGGCTTCTGTGAGCTATTTCTCTTGTAATGACTGTAATCATTTAATTTAGTAGACATACATTTGCAATCAATGTCTCACCCGCAAGTTTCCAAAAATCTTAACTATCTACGTTTAGTCCCCTTCAATCAGCCAGGTGCCGTCTCTACAACAAAGGCTGGCTGCAATGAATTTCTAACATTTGTTTTATCTCTCACTGTAATTGTTTACCCCAGACTACATTTGCTCATATCTTAATACAATAATCCCATTTGTATGGATGTCTTTCTCATTCTCGCCGGCCTCCAACCCCCCCCCCCCCCCCCCCCCTCCCCCCGGAATGGCTTTCTTTTATGCTATTTATTTTGGGGGCAGTAATAGAATCTGGGTAAAGGCTCGACATCACAGCATTCATAAAAAGCCCATATTAGCCCCGTGTCCCTCCTCAATAGCTAGCACACAGTCTCCGCACCGGGGGGCACTTGTAGTCATCTGGTTAACTACTCGTCTTGCCCTCCCTGTCTCGAGAGGTGGCCACAGCCCGTAGACACTCTCTAGCAGCATCATTTTTCCCAAATACAGGTTTTTAGGGTCTTTCATTTTACTTGTTACCTCGTCCCACCGGCGAGATATCACCCCCCCCCCCCCTACTCCTGCCATGTGCAGTTGCAGTACACCCCCTCCCCTTTTTCCCCAAAGCTGGGGTGGGGTGTAGGAAGGTGCTTTATTTAAAAATCGTCACATTCAACCAGCATCTCCGAAATGGGAGCTTTAGGTTATAATTGTGACTAGATTGTGTGCGCCGAATAAAATGGCTTAGCACTGCATCTATCAAGAGCTCTGAAAAGAACTCTTAGAGTGTTGGTGCGATCAAAGGAGACGGACATAAATACTTGAAGTCGTCTACCGGCGAACCAGTGGGCGATCCGGTCGCCGACTTATCTACCTGCTCATTCCCACACACGCTTGCATTGATACTGTATGGCTTGGTGGAAATTTTATTGTAGCTCTCAAAACCTGTGGCCTCTGGACTGAGGCGATCCATTTCCATATAAAGAAAACACCTTATTCCACCTTCCCGAGCATGCTTTGCGAACACGATACTGTGATAAAATGTGTGGCTGAGATTTTCTCAACCTATCGGAAAACCTCAGTTACCGCCTCTACCTCCATTCTCATGCTAGATGTATTGATGTCTTATGCCAAGCTCTCCCCCAGTTCTCATGCTGGATGTATTGATGTCTTATGCCAAACTCTTCCCCAGTTCTAAGGATGGATGTATTGATGTCTTATGCCAAACTCTCTCCCAGTTCTCATGCTGGATGTATTGATGTCTTATGCCAAGCTCTCCCCCAGTTCTCATGCTAGATGTATTGATATCTTATGCCAAGCTCTCCTCCTTCACGCCACTGCCCCTTTTCCGTGAATTTTGCAGTGAAGCTTTATCCACTCGTTTAGCCACTGATCAGTCGGTCTATATAATTGTATCTCCTAGGTTAGAGTGTCCTTTAGCTACTGATCGACCTCTGCTTCTACACGCCCCACTATGAAAGCAGAATTATTAAACAAGATATGAGTTAAATGTTTCATTAACGTTAGAACAGACAGCTATCTTATAAAGTCCATTATGAAAATGCTGAAGGTGGGCCAGCTATAGTTGCAAATATAACTTCGACAGTCTTTGCAGTTTGCTAGCACTCTGGCGAAGAAAGGTGCACCATACCAATCAAAACATATACTGTTGGCGATTGCAAGACGTGGAGAAACATGATTCCCCATTCCAGTCCAAAAGATATTTGATGATGAAAGTAGGTTTGAGTATACATAGCACTTGATCATTCAAATTGTTAAAAATTTGCTAATCTGTCGTTTCTTTGTCTCAGTAATGTTTCTTCTTTTCTTTTACTGATTATGCTATAAAGTGTCGCACAGAGAGGTTATATGTATTTTCTGTCTTTTGATAGTTGCGTAGCTTGTTTTAATGTCACACTGCGTTTCTGTTGTGTTTCTTTGACTCCCTCTACCCATTATTTCTTGGTCGACCTCTAAGCGTTCAGCCAGTTGTTGAGAATGTTTCTGTTAAAATTATTTTGACTCATTCCTATTCTCCTTATTATTTAAATTCAATGTTTTAAAATACCAAAACATAAACACTCAAACCCGGAACCACGCCAAATAAACATGGCCTCTCCGCTAGCTTGACGCATTTTGAGAAGATTCAGCGGTCTTATGTGCTTGCAGAATAAAGGGTCGTTATTATTATTTAAAAATTTCACTGGCGAGAAATTTCGTAAATTATAATGCTTTTTACGAAGTTAATTGTGAGGACTGAGAATAATGCTCGGTCTATAACTTATTTTCTCTAGATTTTGTATCGGTATGTAGTGTGACTGTAATCGGATAATCGAATCCAAATCCGATGGTGTTGTATTTTGTGGTAAGAGTGGTAAGACAAGTGTGACCACGACTACCAGCCATCAGTCGAGTCAGTTTTCAACGTATGTCATAGTTGGTTCGGTTAAAATTGTATTTTGTGAAAACTGAGAAAAAATTTACTTTGTGTATCTTTAGATTGTGTACACAATCTGCTACAAATCAGTATTAGTAGAGAGTACGTAACCTACTACGAACACAAATATTCAAGAAGTAGAAGAAGTGTCAACAGTATAACCAAGAAGTGTACTCGAGTAAGTCTACTCAGTAGTGCAAACTAAAAATGGAAACAAGAAACGGCATGACCTGTGAAAGTAGTTTCTAAAATTGCCGCAAATATGAGTGAGGTATGTTTTTTTTAATGTATTATTTTGTGTTAATACAAATTATGTAAAATCCATATCTACTAAAACAAAGATTAAAGTAGTATTTGTTAATTTAATATTATTTAAGGGATGCACACACGTATCCAGAAACCATGAGTTGTAAACCCTTTGGCTTGGTACTATGGATATCGCATTTAAGACTTCGCCACTCCTTGCAGTTTGTTTACAGGGATGACATTTTCATTTATTTATTAAATTTAAGTGAAATCAAAATTCAGACATCTTTTAAGTGTTTAAATAATAATAATGAAACACAATATGTGATACATAACATAGATTAAAGACTATATGTCAGACACTTATCACACAATCAGAAGACAGTCATCATTTTTCGGCCATGTTATGTGAAGAGGGAAAATAGAGCATGTGGTGACCACTGGAAAGATATGTGGAAGGAGGGATAGAGGAAGACAATGAGAGAAGATTCTTGACAGTCTTGTAGCATGACATGGAGGTGTGTCAGTGCACGTACTAATACATGCTGCAGGAGATCGCAGATTGTGGAAAGGCATGATTGCCCACGCCAGTCGGCAAGGCACCTGATGATTATGTGTGTCACATAGATTAAAGACTATATATATTAACTATCTACCTGGCGCACTAGCTAAATTGGTTAAACCAGCTGCGTTGCAACCGAGTGACAAACTCCTTGTGGTCCAAGTTCCTGCTCAGGGGTTGGCAGAAAAACCACATATTTCTCAGATTTACTTATCTGTCATAGAATTGTTGACTGTTGACACCCTAGGACATTAGCTACCAGGACCAATTTTTGGGACTAAAAGAGTTATAATAATTATGCAATTTTATTGCCTGTCATATATTTCATATTTGATATTTCACTTTCACAGTGTATCTCATTGGATTTTCTTTCATTAATACTGATTACTAGTTTGGTCAACATATAATGGAGTAAACTTTTCACACAAACTGACTTTGTCTTTAGAAAAGAAATATTCATGTACAAAATCACACATTTCTGTGATTCCTTAATGGCAGTTTAAGATTACATTGACATTATTATTTTGTTTACCTGATATAGGGTTGTCCAAGGACCCTTTTTGACATCACTGGGAGGTGAATTAGCCATATACTGCCAAACCTGTATTTTGTAGACCAGTTGGCACCCAGTGTCCGTTTTTTTCTAGGCTGGGTCAACCTGGGAGCCAGGGTCATTATTTAAAAAAATCAGACGATGCCGATTTAAACCTACAACCATAAGACCCAAGGCAAATGTCCAGTCACTACAGCTACACCACGATGGAGAGGAACAGTTTTTGATCCGTTGCTTGATGGGCGGCAATGACTGTTGTCATTCTGTGTCGATGTAGCAGCTCTTTAATGTCATCAGGCCGTATTCTCCCACGGTGGCCTCGTGCTTTCACATTTTCATGTGTAGTGCCTGGTTGAAAGTTGTTTTGGTTGCATTCTTACTAGATGACAAATTTTATCTTCTGTTTCTCAATGAATTTTTTGCATGGTTTTGTTCCTACAGTTGTCTGATAATTTCATTTATGACAAATGTTTAAAGTTGATGGCTTTTCTAAACCATCTCATTTCAAAGTGATAATTTGACATTAGTTAGCTTTTGATAATGTCAAAGTCCAACAGCACGGTGTTGGTATGAATATGCTGTTTGTAATCTTTTTTTGTTTGCAACATTGTTTTATTTTGTAACATTTGTCTTCACTGTTGTTTACAGTCAACAAGAAGTACTGACACAGATGTCTTGCTGCAGGTTGAAATCATCAGACTTGACCATGATTATGACGTAAGTTTTTATCTTTTATACTGGTAATTTATATTCATACTCTCTCTGTTTTTCTTGTTTTTATTACTTCTTAGTAGTTGTGGACCTAAGGATTTAAGTTTAAGGCAGCATGGTTTATGAAGTTGCCACCCAGTGTGCAGCATTTGTCCTCCATTTGGCCAGCTACTCCCCAATTGATTTAATAGTCTACTAATACATGTGTCCATGGTTGGGGTCTGTAAAGAAAGCAAAGAATAATATCTATAACTTACTGAGTCTGTCATCCGAGTCATGTATGGAGGGTTGGTATCTGATTGCTAACCCTCTATGTGTGAGTTCTATTGTTCCTTTATATAGGTGGGAGGGGGGGGCAGCATCCCTAACAAGCATGTCATACAAGGCAATTAATTAGTGGTTTTCTTCAGAGTCAGTGCGCTGTCTGCCTGAGAGCTGAGAAACCAGCTGCCTGAAAGCTGAGGAACCAACTGCCTGAAAGCTGAGAAACCAACTGCCTGAAAGCTGAGGAACTAATTGCCTGAAAGCTGAGGAACCAACTGCCTGAAAGCTTAGGAACCAACTGCCTGAAAGCTGAGGAACCAACTGCCTGAAAGCTTAGGAACCAACTGCCTGAAAGCTGAGGAACCAACTGCCTGAAAGTTGAGGAACCAATTGCCTGAAAGCTTAGGAACCAACTGCCTGTATACAAATAAGTTAGACCAGTAAAATGGATGTGCACACAAAACTCAACAACAAGGCCAAAGTCCAGAAGTGGACGAGGAACCAGAACATTCAGCAGGAGTTTACGAGCGATAAACATTAAGGAGAAACAAAAGATTTGTAACCACAGAATACAATAGCTGCAAAATCCAACCAGCCTTGAGTGGCTTGGGGTGAGTTAGTTGAGGGTTTATGCTCCAAGGAAAACTAACTACCTGTGAAATGAAATGTTTGAGAAAGGCCACAAATAAAGCCAGAAGAGATCATGTTAGAAATTAATAGGTTTGAAGAACAATTGAAATAGAGCTCATTGTTAAACTGCTTTAGAAGCATACTAGATGCCAGCAAAGGTAACATACAACACAAAAAAGGAAACACAAAGAGGCTGATGGAAACCTAGAAGATGATGGACTGAAGGAGTTGATGAACACCTGAAACTTAATATCATAGCATAGCAAGCACCTGAATACACCCTGTTTTTACTACCATTTGTCTGTTAAACTTTGATGCCCGTCTGCACAAAGCAGAGTGTCAAAAATATAGAGTTACAGGTGTAATGCACACTGAGCCACACATGGTATTACTGATCTTCTCACAGTACATACCAAGGCTTTTCAACTGGAGACCTAGCAAGTGGCCTCCGGATTATTGTCATTTGTATTAATCTTTCTGTGCAGGAGCTCAAGTCTTTGGCCTTTGATCCCCCTGAGTAAACTAAGCCCTGATGTACAGTATATGCCACAAATAAGGTTACTGAATTCTCACAAGTTTTCTTGACCTTACATACATTTTTCTCCTAATATTGTGATACGGTGTTCTCACACTGGGTATACACCTGACACATCACTTTTTGATGCTGTATTCTCACAAGAGATGGAGAATACAATATAAACAATTTGCATTATGCAAATGAGACAGTTTTGATAACTGAAAACGCAAATGATTTACAACAGCTGCTGGATATTGTAGGGAGGGAGAGTGCTGAGAATGAACTTTCCTTGTTATAAACTCAACTTTCCTTCAACTTTTAACCAGATTGTGACCGGTACCATCAGTATTGGAACTCTGCGCTGGCTGCTGAAGATGAGTACGGAGCATGCCTGGGGGCCTCGAGTGCTGTGATGTCAATTCTCGACTTAACTCAGAACCTACCTTGGGTATTAAGAAAAATAGAAGTAATGGTTATATCAAAGAAGAAGAAAACACCTTAATGTGGTATCTCAGTTGAAGGAAAAAGGCTTTTAACCAAGTCAATAAAAAATATCTGGGAACAATCATTTCATCAGATAGAAAATGTGTGACAGGGATTAAAAGCAGAATAAGTCAAGCGAAGGCACCATTTCAGAAAATGAAGAATATCTAATACAATAAGTTGCTCTCATTTAATGTCAGAAAGAAAGTGCTAAAATGTTACATAGAACCTGTTCTGGTGTATGGCAGCAAATCTTGGAATTTCATTGAACAAATTGCGAATAATTTAGAAGCAACAGAGATGTTGTTTCTGAGGCAAATGTTATGAATACCTTGGATGGCCAGAGTAACTAACAACAATTGTTAAAAAGAAGCTAATAAAAGTAGATCTCTATATACAACAATAATAAGAAGACAAACACTGTTATTTGGCCACATAATGAGAAGAGAAAGATTGGAAAACATGACAACTGGAAAGATCAGTGGAAAAAGGGGTAGAGTTAGACCAAGAGAGACGATGCTGGATGGGCTGAAACAATGGCATGGAGAGATATCAAGAAAGCTGTTCCAGGGATCATGATCTGTGGAGATGCATGAGCGTCTATAACAACTGGCAGGGCACATGATGAAGATGTTTTTACACTGTAAACTTGACACCCCCGCATGTTTGTGTAGTGTTCACACGCTGTTAGTAAACTATATCCTTTGACTTTCTACTTATTTATTTTTAGGGGCAATCACATGCTGGATTGTGCAAGGAAACAGGTGACATGAGTGAGAATGTTGATACATTTGTAGGCGTGTCTGCTGCTTCTGTTCTAAACAACATTAATAATGGTAAGTTAGGTTATTGAGAGTAAGATTTCTTATTGTTCGTATGTGCAGATTTTATTTTGGATTAAATAGTGAAGTGCTTTATTGCAGCATGGCTGTGATATTTATGCCGTTTTGCTGACACATCTGACTTCTTTGAGTATTTAATGTCCAGGTTGGCTACCAATAAGATTTCATTTTATTGATTTAGAGGCCACATATTTCTGCATCTGTATCCATGTTGACAAGACCCCCTTTGACATCATCATAAACCACTTCTGCCGTTAAGCGTCGTGGGTGGGAAAAATGTGCGATCCAATGCACGTTGGCTGCCACTGGCTATTGTCATGCCGTAAAGGCATAGAGTGTCTTTGATGTAGTCTATCCATATTTTTATGGCCGTCCTCTTGGTCTTGTAGCTTATCTTCTAAGATTTAGTGCTTGTGATGGTATTTAATCTTTCAGCCATACCATTTGATCTGTTATTTCTTGATGAATCTAATAAAAGGTGTTGTTCCCACAGTTTGTCTGATAGTATCATTATTCACTATATCTCGGATGGTTAGTTTAGCGGTTTTTCTCAGGCCTCTCATCTTGCTAGTGGTGATTTTTGCGTACATGGGCTAATGCTCCCGTTGTGGTGGTGGGGGGAGGGAATAGACTTAGTGCCTCCCAAACAAGCACGTCATAGGAGTTGACTTATTCGGAATTTCGTTCAAAGTCAGAGTGCATCTGCTAGAGCGGCCAGGAACAAACAAACTGCACACAGATAAGCCAGTAAACCGGATGTAAATGCAGAACTCGGGCCCTGTCATAATTCTAAATGGACGGACAGCCAGGACTTTCCATCGGAGCTTACAGCAGATGAACAGAGGAGAAAGAAGGAGGAGTCTTGAAAGCACAAATTAGAATGTTTCTCTTTCACTCTGAATCCACTTTGCCAGGTCGTCTTCTATTTCTGCCTTTTAACCCTCAGTGCCAGCAGAGGCCCTCATCTAACTAAAGCCTAGTCATTGTAACCATTGTTATTATACAGCTACCTTCATGTCCTCCCCATCTTTTTACACATTGAAATACAAAATTGTAACTTCCTTCTGTATCTAACCAACTCTACTTGAGTTAATAAAAACATCTCATTCTTTCTTTTTAAAAATATAGATTTGAACTCTCTAACCATTTTTAGAGGAAAAATAACTCATTCTAACACATACAAACCATAACAAAGTACCATACAAGTTGTTCAATTGTTAAGGAATTTGAAATAAATTTGCCGTAGGCAGATCAAATTATATATTCGGGACACGTGGGGTTGTCAGTGTATCTGAAAATGTGTCATTACGGGTTTTGCACAGCCAGATATTATTTTTTTTTTTTTTTGCAAGGAAAAACTTAAAGGGAAAGGGACATTTTTCTTCACAACAGAAATTTGCCACACCTGAGATAAGATCAAGTGGTCTGCCCAGCATTCGCTGGCTGTAAACTCTGGCGGAAAGTTCTGGTTTTTTTAAATCCATTTCTAGGCTTTAGTCCTATTACAGAACCTGAGTTCTGTATGCAAGTCTGTTTTACAGATCTGGCTTATTTGTATACTGACTGTTGGTTCCTCACCTCTCAGGCAGATGCACTCCAACTTGGAAGGAAATATCCCTAATCAGTTGACAACATGCTTGCCAGGGGGCAATGATTTTATTCTTTTTTCTCCCCCAAAGTGAGGCCTGGAACCCACACTGGGAGTATTCATTTTAAAACACTTGTCGTGTTTCTTGATCATTCCAAAGATGTTTTTGCTGTCTTTAGAAGCAGCCGTTGTGAACGTGCTTCGAAGCTCTGTGATGTCAGGTTCAATCCCAGCTGCAAGGCAAACTGCTTTGCATTGGTTTAAAAAGTGGTGTCGAGAGGACACCCTTTAGAAAGCAATGGCAAACCGGTGAACATAAAATTGCCTAGTGAAATCACGAACCGCCAGACAATGATGGGTTCTGCAACTTTAAAGGATACGCGGCTGACTTGCTCTTTTAATACATGTAATATGTTGTATTAACCTTTTATTTTTGAATTATTAGTTTAATCCCTTCTCTCTCGTACTTATGTGTGTTTGTTTTTTTTTCCCAACTATTTAAGACCCAGATGTTTGACTTTTAAGCTTCTTCCTTGGGATAGGCGGATTTAAAGTAATAATTTCTTAGGACTGAAAGTGTTTAATTTAACATCTTATCAGTTGTAGGCAGGTCTTTACAGATTGCTTCAGTATTTCTATAAATGCATTGCTTGTGAATTTCAGGTGTCTCTTCACTTGGTCCAAGTCATAATACGTACAGGAGTACTGATGTTGAAGAGAACAGATCAGTGGCGTACAATAGTGAGAGCTCTGCAAGTGTCAGAGACAATGTTTTGTCAGATAGAACATCGAACTATCAGGTGAGAGACTCAGAGAACATGGCTAAAGATATTTGTTACACAGTAGACGTGAGACCTGGAGAAGACAAGAACAAGCAAACACATAAGGAATCAATCATTGTTATTGGCCTTCCGGCGAAGATGACTGATGTCAAGGGTGACCATATTGAGTACAGTGAAAATTTACATCGAGGACACAGCAAATTGTTGGAGCAAGAGTTGTCAGCTTCTGAGAAAACTCCCCACTGCCAAAAGAAGAAAAGAAAGGTAGCTGTTTTTAGTATGAAATCTTTTGATACATTACTTTTAAACAAATGGAAAACAAAAAGTATAGCCAGCCAGGAGTCTTATCAACCATCAGTGTTGCCGTCTGTTCAGCCATCAGTTTTACAGTCTGCCCAGCCATCAGTTTTACAGTCTGTCCAGCTCTCTGCCTTATATTCTGCCCAGCCTTCAGTTTTACAGTCTTACAAGTGTAAGTTTTGTCATGGGTTTATGTGCAATGATTCTGAGCATATCCCAGGACAGCCATATAAATGTAACATTTGTGGTCATGAGTATAAACTAGATTCATATCAAAGCCACACAAATGGGCAGACAGAAAGACGAGAGAAAAGTAAACAGGTAAATCACAAATTATACAAATGTATTCCTTGTGATGAAATATTTAAAAGTAAATTCTCACTGAACAAACATAAACTGACCCATGTCAGTGAAAAACCTGGTGGTCTTTCTCTTGCACAAGAGAGCTCCCTGAAGAAACAGACAACTCTTGTTGGCAGAGAAGTATACAAGTGTGATCTTTGTGGCCTTGAACTAACAGGGAAGGCAGAAATAACAGAACATAAAGAAGTGCATAGAAAGCAGAAAGATTTTGTGTGTGATGTCTGTGGTCATAGGTCAAGTACAAGGCATGAATTAAAGATACACAAAGGATCACATTCAGGCGAAAAACCCTACAAATGTGATGTGTGTGGTAGTGGGTGGGCCTTTATTAGCGCCCTGAATTTGCACAAACTTACACATACAGGTGAGAAACCTTATCAGTGTGATAGCTGTGGCCATAAAGTAAGGACAAGGTATGACTTAAAAGTACACAAAAGGTTACATACAGGCGAACTACCCTACAAATGTGATATTTGTGGCAAAGGCTACATAGAAAAAAATCGGCTAACAATGCACCAGATAGTTCATTCTAAAGACAAGCCTTACAAATGTGATATTTGTGGTCGGGGTTTTGCTGTGGAAGTCAATCTGAGAAGACACTCAAGGAAACATACAGGAGAGAAACCTTACAAATGTGATGTTTGTGATCAAAGCTTTGCTTGGAGTGGCACCCTGGAAGGGCACAAACTCACACATACAGGTGAGAGACCGTATCAGTGTGATATTTGCGGTCTCACTTTCATACAAAGCGGTAGGCTGAATGAACATGTGAAATTACAACATACTGGTAAAGAACCATTTAAGTGTAATTTTTGTGACCTTGAATTTGTATTAAAGGCGGACTTGAAAAAACATAAACAAATTCATAAGAAGGAGAAACGTAAAATATATGCCAAAGAGAAGCATTACTCATGTGATGTTTGTGGTAAAAGATTTGCGGACAGTAGAAATCTCAAGAACCATAAAACGTTACATTTAGTTGAAAAACCCTACAAATGTGACATTTGTGGGAAAGGCTTTATAGATCATAGAAATCTAAAGTTACATAAAGAAAGATTACATTCTGAGGTAAGGCCGTACAAATGTGACATTTGTGGTAAAAGCTTTAGGGTAAACAAAGATCTGGCATTACACCAGAATATACATTCAGAAGATAGGCCTTACAAATGTGATGTTTGCGGAGCTGCCTTTCCCCACTTGTATAGTTTAAATGTACACAAAATGATACATACAGGAGAGAAACCTTACAAGTGTGATATCTGTGGGCTTGCCTTTAATCAGCTGGGCAATCTAAATACACACAAAATGAGACATACGGGAGAAAAGCTGTACAAGTGTGAAATTTGTGGTAAGAGCTTTAAAGTAATTGGTGACTTAAGTACACATAAAAAGACTCATACAGAAGAGAGGCCTTACAAATGTGATGTATGTGAGCTCGCTTTTAAATTTTCATACAATCTAAAGAGTCACAAAAAGAGACATGCAGAAGAGAAACCTGAATCTGTATTGAAGTGTAAAGAACTTAATGAAAAGGATAAAGCGGAGGAACATAAAAGACCTGTAAAGGAGAAGCCTTATAAGTGTGATGTGTGTGGTAGAAGGTTTACAGAAAATAAATATCTAATATTACATAAAAGATCTCATTGGAATAGAACTCACACATGTGATGTTTGCGGTAAAAGCTTTACAAGACATACAAATCTAAGATTACACAAAAGATTACATTCGGCTGAAAAACTTCACAAATGTGATATTTGTAGTAAAAGCTTTACACAGAAGTGTATCCTTAGAGAACACAAAAAGATACATTCAGAAGACAGGCCTTACAAATGTGATATTTGCGGAGCGGCTTTTAAACGACCAGGCAATTTAATCCAACACAAAAAGCTGCATGTGAAGGAGAGGCCTTGTGTGTGTTATATTTGTGGTAAAAGCTTTTGTGACAGTAGTAGTCTTAAGGTACACACAAAAATACATTCAGAAAAAAGACCTCACAAATGTGACGCTTGTGCGGCATCCTTCAAATGGTTGAGCAATCTAATCGCGCACAAAAAGACACACGCAGAGGAGAGGCCTTGTGTGTGTGATATCTGTGGTAAAAGCTACAGTGACAGTGGTAGGCTAAAGTTACATAAAAAAACACATCTAGCAAAAAGACCTTACAAATGTGATGTTTGTGAGACTGCCTGTAGAACTCTGTATTATTTAAATGTACATAAAAGAATACATACGGGTGAGAAACCGCACAAATGTGATATTTGTGGGCATGCCTTTAATCAGTTAGGCAATCTGAAAACCCACAGAATGCGACACATATTAGGTAAACTTCACAAGTATCATGTTTGCAATCAAGACTTTACAAAAGCTGGTGATCTAAATACTCACAGAGGGAAACATACAGAAGAGAAACCTCACAAGACTGATGGTTGTGACAAAAGTGTTTCAAAAAGGGTGAATCTGAAAGGACACACACAAATACCGTCGGATAGAAAGCGTTATAAATGTGATCTTTGTGGTAACAGCTATACAAGAACAAATGATCTAAAAACACATATAATGTCACACACTGGAGATAATCCTTACAAATGTGATATTTGTGGTAAATGCTTTACTAGAAAAAGTGCTCTCAGTATGCACAAAATGATGCATGCAGGAGAGAATAGTGGTCAAAATAGACATAAAATGTCACATACTGTAGGGAAACCTTACAAATGTGGAGTTTGTGGTAAATACTTTACAAGAAGAAGCAGTGTTAGTGTACACAAAATGTCACATACGGGAAAGAAACCCTACAAATGTGATTTATGTGGCACACAATTTACAAGACGTACTCATTTAAATACGCACAGAATGATACATACAGGAGAGAGACCTCATAAATGTGAGGTTTGCGGTAAAGGCTTTATAAAAAGAAGTGGTCTCAATATACACAAAGTAGTACATACAGGAGAGAGACCTTACAAGTGTGATGTTTGTGGGCGTGCCTTTAGTCAGTCGTCCGGTCTAAATACTCATAAAATGGTACATACAGGAGAGAAACCTTACAAATGTGATGTTTGCGGGCGTGCCTTCCGTCAGTCAGGGACACTGTTCAGTCACAAATTGAAACATGGAACAGAAAAACTTAGCATTTCTCTTGTTCGAGTCAAATCTAAGAGTGAACTAAAATGGCACAAGAAACCACAGAAAACTTGAAAGTGGTGGATCAAGTTCAGACATGCAGTTTCTGGTAAAGCACCATGTGGGGGTTTGGGGTAGGAGAATCAACCAAGTGTCCTTAACAAGCAACATGAATAATTAAATGCCTTTGGCTGAAACAGTGTATTTTACTGCTTGACTGTAAATTCCCGTACAGTGTGCACACTGCTGTTTGTGTTTGTATCGCTAACATCAGGGCTCTTATAAGCCCATGAAAGCTGGAAAAGCCCTTTAAAAAACAGGTCAATTTGGCAACGAACCTTGTAGCAGGCAAGAAAATGTTTAAATATTTGTTCACAATATTGGCAGTTCTGCAGTCAACCCATCCTCCTAAAATGGGTACCTTATAGTTGTCAGAATATCATGGAAATTATTATACACATTAAAACTACCATGCAAACTGTTCAGAAAGAAAACCAGAAGACTTTCACTGCTGTAAGGATATGTCAGTACAGTACCATACATTGGGGGGAGGGAGGGAGGGGAGCTTTTGATCTCAGCTGTAAATATGAATTGTCCTTACTGTCATTGTTCAAAAGTATGGAAACGTCAGTTACTATGTGGTCTTAAAGTTTTGGCCATCTCTGTCTATTTAATATGTGGCAGGTTTAAAAACAATTACGTTTAAACCTAAACTGTGTAAGTAATCTTTTGGAGCAACTTTGTTTACTGTCATTTTTCAGAAATATGGAAACATAAATTATTTACTAGACGGTCTTAAAGTTTTGTCTGCATCTGCTAAGTTTAGCTTTGTAAACAATGACCTTTAAACAGAAATAATGCAAGTAATATATTGGAGATCCCTGTGTGGGTTCCAGGATCCCAATGTGGGGACAAGATTAGACCCACTGTATCCCCTACATGTATGTCATAAGAGTCGACTAATTCAGAGCTGCCTAAGAGGCAAGTAACCAGTAATCTGCATAGAGGTAAGATCTGTTAAGTGGAGGTGCACTCAATACTCAGGCTCTGGAACAGGTCTACTAAAGTCCAGAATCCGGCCAACAACCAGAGCTTTCTGCCAACAACCAGAACCTTCCGTCGGAGTTTGCAGCCTTAGAACGAACGCGAAGCAGAAGTGTAATTAACCTTCTCTTCTCGTTTATTCATAAAAATATTGCAAGGAGGCGTATAATGATCTACTGTATCTACACTTGTTCTTCATGTCACCATTCCATCTTCTGCCTGGTTTTCCCTTAGGCTGCTGGCTCTTTGGCAGCTGGTTCCATGGTATTCTTGTCTGATAACTAAAGCATCTCATCTGCTGCTCCTCAATAAACTGCATGACTGGTTTCAGGTCCAGTCTTCTTCTGATTTCTTCATTTTTAATTGTATCTCCGGTTAGTCTGCAGCTTCCTGTTCTGTGCGGGTCTGGTTTGGCAAACTTGTTTCACGCGCGCACAAACATCTCCTGAATTCTCCTTGGACATCGCCCTGTAGACAGTGAAATCTTGGACCGGTTAG